GTGTAGGAGTTCTCAGGATGAAGGGAAGGAGGCAAAGTTCAGAAACTGGGGGTAGACATTTATATTTATTCATTCAGTAACCACTCCCTGTTCTTTCTGGGCTGACACTGAAACCCCCAGAGTTCTTGGATCTTCTGGGCTGGGGAGCAGCTCCAGAACCATCTCTTCTCCTTCTTTCTTCATCAGTTTGTTCATGACCTAATGCCTGAGACTGCAGAGATGTGTGCTGGGATGAGCGATGTGAGACTGAGGGCATGTCATGGCATCCACGTGGCTGATGCAGAGGACAGGAAGGAGAATGGAAGGAGAGGAGGCTGGGGGCTGCCGGGGCAGGTGTGCAGGGCCTGAAATAACAGGCAGAGGAGGTTAGGCTTTATTGAGCAGGCAAGGGGGAGCCATGGAGAGTGTGTGAGCAGAGGGCAACAGTGACCATCCTGGAAGCCAGGGAGGAGGCTGAGGGCACAGTCCTGGAGGTGAAGGATGGACTCAGGCAGCTCTCCTCTTTCTTGGGAGAATCCAAAGACAGTAGGGTTCTGGGAGCCAGGAGATGAGGGTGAGGATGTCCTTGGTCTTTGGACATCCAAACAAAAAGAACTAAATTCCTTTAGAAAAGGGATATTTTAATGGAGAAAAAGCTATTCTCTAATTGGAAAAAAAAAATCCAGAAACAGCTAACTTCAGAGAGTTTCTGTTCCTAGAGGTTTTACATGTCCTTAATTGACTTGTAATGTCTGCTTGGAGTGCTATGTTGGCAGGTGGGGCTGGTAGGGGGCTCAGTGAAAGTGTGGGGATCAGCTAGCAATGTCTACCATGGGCACAGGTATGGAGAGAGGCTTATTTGAATATGGGTTCCTGGTTGAGACATTTCCTCCCATCCTTTGCCCTCTTGTGGCCTCTCAGAGAGAATGCATGGAATCCCCAGGTGGGTCCAAGGTTTTATCTCTCGCTTTAGAATTGAAAAAGGCCCTTGGTGCCAGTGACGTGTCTTGCACTCTGGATGGCTGCTCGGAGGCCCCATGGGACCAGACAGGAGTAGGTGAGGACCTCAAAAGCCCTTGGGCCATGCCAGTGAATTGTTGGGGGGTAGTGGGGCCTGGCATGGGGTGTAAGGGATGGTTGTAAGTGTGGATTCCTGGATGGAACAGCATATATATCTTATCCCCTGACCCAGCCAGGTTGGCCAAGCTCATGGTTAAAGGGCAATGGGGAGCCAGTGTTTGTCTGAGCCACAGAGGTACTCTCTGGCATGCATAGGAATTTGTGTCCCATTTCGTCTTGCCGGGACTAGGTCTCCATGGAGTCTCTCCCAGCAGCTACCAGTTCCCAACACTGCGAGGGGAGATTGTGGTGATGGGAGCCTTGGGTCCACCACAACAAGGGCTGCTCTGGGAGATGGGTATAGGGAGCCAGGCTCAGGGCCAGGGCAGCCTGGCCTACTGCAGGATCCTACAGCAAGCTCTTTGTTGGAGCAGTAAATGCATGTAGGGCTGAGGCTGACACTGCTGGTGGGGCAGGGATCCTCAACTCCAGCCGTGAGATGGAAATGTGTCATGGGGACTTCCCTGAAATGGGGCAGAAAACAACTGGTCCAACTAGAAGCAGACCGGTGGGCAGGACGGCTATAACCTGGATGTTCAGAATCCAGGGCAGGTGCAGGGATTCTGGAACAGCTCACAGCTCAATCCCCTTGTGTATTGCTATTGTGAGAGCCAACTAAGCAGCTCCCACATTTTTCAGCCACAGAAACTCTGAGATAATATGTGTTGTTTTTAGCTGCTAACTTTTGGGATCATTTGTTACACAGCAATAGCTAACTAATACACTAATACATTGCTGATCTGGGGTAGCCTCCCGTAGTTGATCACTGTAGATAAACTGATGAATATACATAAGTGCTGGGATAAATGGAGATTAAACTGTCTTAGAAAGACTTCTAGGTGTCAGAATATTTGGGGATTCGCAAGTGAGGATGAGGGATTGCAAATGGGCCCCTTAATCTATTTGACCAGAATCTAACCAATGATGGCCATTTTGCTTCTAGTCTTCCAACTAACTGTTAATGTTACAGGGAATGACCTTGTACATACTTTCCAGGCAAGTGCAGGTCTCTGTGGGTAAATCACCCAGTATGAAATCTCAGGGTTTTGAGCATTTGTGTTTGGTGTTTCAACAGCAGTCTCCAGAGCACTCTCCACCAGTCTGGTCCCACCTGGTGACCCTTACCTGTGTGCAGGTGGCCCATTTCCCCACAGACTGCACAGGCTACCAGCTGACTCAGGATTTCTCAGATCTTCTGAGTGAATAATGGCATCTTGGCATCATTTTTATGAGCATGTCTTGTTGGAGATGAGATTAAGCATCTTTTTGTGTGTTTAAGAACTGTTTTTAGCTTCTTTTCTGTGAAACTTTGTTCCTCTCCTTGGCCCACGTATCTTCTGGGCGCTTGTCATTTTCTGCTCAGTTTCTTTTGCTAGGCTTCCATTTACTGAGCATTTACTCTGTGCCAGGCATTTGATGTGTTTTGGCATCCTGATGACACTTTCTATTTTACAGATGAGGAAGCTGAGGCTCAGAGAGGAACTTGCCCTGAGCAGCCAGGCTCTGGTACCGAGGTCCAGTCACTCTGCCCGCTGCCTCCTCCTAGAACATTCCACAGCTGAGTCTTTGGACACCTCAGTCCTCGTTCCCATTGGATAAATGTCTACTAGTGGAATTTCGGAGTCAAGCATATGCACCATTTCAAGGCTTTTATAACCCTCATACCTCCACCTCATTCCTCTCCAGAAAAGCTGGCCTTTTTTTTTTACACTCCCATTAGCAGCATTTGTGCATATTCTCCATATCCTTTCCAAACACTAGAAATTTTCACAAAAGAAAAAATGTCAATTTGAGACACACACACATTTCATTGTTTAGTTTGAATTTCATTAATGATTACACTGAACCTAAAAATATGTTTATTGGCCATTTTTATGTTTGTGCTTTTTGTTGTTGTTGTTTTTTAAGTGAATTGCATGTTCATGGCTTTTGCCTACTTTTCAGGAGAGTTTATCTTTTTCTTATTGATCTCTAATAATTCTTTGTATATTAAAGATATTAATGCTTTGTTATACAGGTTACAGGTACTTTTATTCTCAGCCTGCTGTGGACCTTTTGGGTTTGTTTATTTGCTCCAAATCTTAACTTGGTATCAAGTTTCCCAGCTGAGAGTGAAGCATTTGCTGACTTCCCTCTGCTTGCCAGAAGAGTCATCTGTCTACTGGGGGTTGGCAGCTTCTCCCTATCACAAGCCTTCCAGCTGCTTCCGGAGCAGATTCTGAGGGATTTCCCCAGGGTCCTTCTTGGTTCAGCTTTCAGAGGGGTTCAGCTTCATGGAGACAGTTTCCTCCCATTCCGCCCTGGAGTTTTCAGCCTCCCCAAAAAGGAAGATTTTCTTCACTTTTCCTGATTTTACTCTCCAACTCAAACTTCTGACATACATTTGTGCTTTTACAGCCCTTGTACAGCTGTTTTTGTTTGTTTGTTTTTTTAAATTTTTACCCAGAACGTGATGTTAGCTCTGTAAAATTAGAGCAACAAAAACTTGTCATCCTGCCCTCTGAGAAAATCACTATTTGCTTATGGTTCTAAAATCTTCCAGTCTTTTCTCAGTTTATCAGGGTATGGGATGTGTCTTGTCACTGTTTTTCTAACTTAATATGAATGATCCTTCCTTGTCAGGTCCATAGAGTGTAAAATGGTTTTTGCCATTTTGTTACAGAAAGTTTCAAAACATACCCCAGAAGTACACCCCTGTGTGCCCGCTCTCGGATTCAGCAGTGACCAAGTGTGGCCAGATCCCTTTCCTCCACTCCCATCCCTCACCCCCTTAGTCAATTGTATAACCAGTACATTTTAGGCTGTGTTTCCAAAATATTCAGCTAAAAACTGAACTTGAGCAAAGGACTGTTGTGGAAAAAATGTGGAGAACAGAAGCAAAGGAGAGAAATGAAATTGGAAGAAGGGGATGGACAAGTAGAAGGACATGCGGAGGAGGAAGGGCAAGTATCAGGTGACTCTGCTAGCCAAGCTGGGAGATTTGGGGCTTTTGGATCAAGTCCACTGCCCTGTCCTACTTCCTTAAGTTCAGGCCCTACTGTCCCTTGAGCACAAGGCCACATGACCTGGGCCCTGAATTTTACTTAACAATACTGAATCTTTTCCTCCCGACCACCATATGAACAAATGTATACCTGAGCATCCTTCTTAAAACTTAATTTTTAAGAATGACACAAAAACAATCAATAGAAAGTACATTAGAGTATGGGGAAACAATCCCCTGGTAGCATTTCTATGGAAACTCTCACCCTGCCTCCGGAGCGCGTGCTCAGCACTTGCAAGTATCACGTGGCTCCATCTGACGCCAACCCTGCGGGGTCGGTAAGACCCTATTTTACAGATGGACAAACTGAGGCTCACACTGGGAGCCCACGGTGGGGGCTGAATTTGAAGCCAGGTCTGGGGACGCCAGGGACCCCGCGCTTAATACCCACCAGCCCTTGAGTACATCCCTGTGAAACCAGGTCCTAACTAGCCAGGTCCGCCTGGTGGCACAGACTGGGTCCTATACAAATGGAAGTGGTATGGCGTATCAGGCGAAGGTCCAGGCTGGGGCAGGCGTCAGGAGGAACGGGGTGTTCTGAGCTCTGACACCTTTACGGCACTGAGTCACGTGAAATGGGAAAGCTAGGAGCGCTCTGTGCCTTTAAGGCGGGAGCTGGGGGCCGGGCGTCGGGGCGGGCCCGCCGACTGACGTGCTCCTGGCGGGAGTCGCGTCAGCAGCACTTCGTGCCTTTAAGGCCCTCGGGAGGAGGGGTCCGGGAAGGGGGCCCAGACGGCTGATTCACGCCAGGCACTCTCCTCCCCTTTAAGGCGCGCGGCAGGGCGGGGTCCGGTGGCAAGCTCAAGGCGCGGTTCGCGTCCGCCGTCAGAAAAGCGGCTTAAAGGCGACGCGTGGCGCGATGGCGGCGGCCCCACGCGCGTGCAGGCGGCGCTGGC